AAATGTTAATAGTCCAGATGATAACAACAATCAGTTGGAACATCGAAATCTCAGACTAAACCCACTTTTAAATTAGGTAAGCTGCCAAAATCCAATACTTCTGAGGGATTCACTACAGAAAAATAATATTCAAAGCTTCACTATGTTCTAAAATGTTCTGTCTCTTAGTGAAAGGAGAATTTTACTATTTTGTGTCAAATGCAAATAACCTTTCGCAAGGCCTCACTTTTAAGCCGTAGACTAGGTATGAGTCCGTGGAATCTATCCTCATAAAGTAACTTCTCACGATTGCTGTGAAATGTGAAGTGTACATACAAAAACGAATAGTGTAATGAATCAAACAGTATTTTATGTATCCAGGAAAGTAATTAGGATCCTATGTTTCCATTATGCAAAGATAGGCAAAATCTGTTTATTCATTTATCACTGAAGATAGACTAGTTGAAAACTGGAGTGAAGTTAAGTCAATGGAATCAGATTTAAACATGTGTGCTTTAAATCTTGTAGTTTATTCGATGTAGCATAGGAGTGATAAGCCAGAAGTAGTTAGTTTTTAGCGTGAAGTAAATCTTTTTTTAAACTTTGGAAAGATGTATTCACCTATAGGTTTTACTCACACAGATACTTGAATCGTTGTTACAATGAGAAGTGCTTTTAGAACATTTATCTAAATGTCATGCATTTGAATTAACCTGCTAATAATAATTTCTGTTTAAGTCATTTAACTAATGACATTTTAAAGATGAAAACTAGTATATGGCACTGATAATGCTGTAAGTCATATTTGGAAAAATGTTTCAAAGTATTGTCTCGAATCAGTCCAACATTCTTCTTATAAATCATTTATTCCGTGAATGATGTCATTAATCTTAAAGATTGAAATTGAATTAATTCCTAACCTGGTTCGTACGGCTCGGAATCTTTCTCAGTGACTCAGATGTATCCACACGTCATCTTAATCTTAATGCTAAATTTCAGTGTCTCTCCATCCCACTCTGCTCCTTCTTCATTACTTTCCATGGCTTTTGGCTTTTCTTCCTTATTTCTTCATTCTTCGTCCTAATGAATTCTCACTTGGTGTTCTGATAAGTCATGTGGCAACTTGGAACGTCGTGTAACAATGCAAAATCCTATGATGAAACCGTCTTATCTGTCTGCTGCATCATCCAACTGTATGTCTCACAAAGTGATGATCTGTTTTTGATGGGTTTGTTTCATTTCTATTCTAGTGTCGATATCAGATAAGTGATGGACTGCCGATAAAATGTTTATCAGTAATGATTCTAGTTTATCTGTATTTTAGTTTCCATGGAAGACAGAAAGGTACACAGTACTGTGTTCAAAGTATACGTATGAACTATTTCATGTCTTCGAATCTCTGAAAAGCTTCATCCTTGATGCATACATTAATCAAGCAATTCGTGTAACCCAAAGAGTACTGAAAGAACACATTGTTTCATTCTGAGACCTACACGAAGATACACCTTCTGCGGTTTAGATTTGAACCGCGACATTTTGAATGAGAAATATAAGTTTGCTTGGCAAACTGCCACATCGTATGGTCTGTTGAAATATTTTTATCTACTTTCTTAAAAGGACCTCGAACTTGATTTTATATATTTTACAAATCATTGGCAATGACATCATGAGAACCATGCGATACCGCTTTTCCAACCAATTAACCACTACATTTACCACATGAATACTTATATAAATAGTATACGATTCAAATCAATCAACCGTCTGTGTTTTCTTCCAACTCTAGTCTCCTTAATAATAGAATAACCTTTGCATGAAAGCTTTTAAAAACAAAATTTTTCATACTGCATATTATCCTGCTAAATTTAAGTTGTCTAGCGAAAACTTTTCGATGACTAATAACTACAATGACAGTCACACAAGAAAAACACTGAACTAGAAATGTCATGAAATTAAGTAATCTACTATGCCGTTGTAAGGCCTACAGTTTCCATTAACTTGCTAACCTTTGACATATACACACATTAGTAGGAATGTCCAGTAATCTTAATAATAAAAATCAACAAATAACACCAACTGACTTCCCAGCTAGTGACTTACACACTAAGGTAGGACTAAACGTGTATGAAGAAAGACTGTTCACAGCTATGGGTTAGTCATAAACAATCAGAAGAAATTATATCACACTGCAATACACTGGAATCAAAAAAGACGTATAAACTTGGTGTGATTTTGTCCTAAAATCTTTATAACAGCTGACTTAGTTATGTCACTTAAATATAGGCCCTCTTGTTTTTACCTGTTCTGTCGTAATCTTTTTTAGTTGTTGCTGTGATCATTGTTATTTTTTTGCATTTTTGTTTACCATCCAACTTCAGTAACATAACGTATAATCAAACCAATGAGAGAACAAACATACTTTGATGTATTTGAATTTGAAGTTGGTTTGACTAATCAACCTAACACAAGGTTTAGTCATCAAGTAACTTTTTAAGACAACATAATACTATCCAAATCATCAATAGTATGATGACGGTTTTTGGACAGCAGAATGAAGGAGAATAAATAGACTTTAATGATTTGTGTATTATTATACTTCCCTATAAAATTTGTCGATTTGATAACTTTAGGACTTTCCTAAATAAATTGAACACTGTAAGGGACTGTTTTCCACATAACTGAAACATCCGTAAAGTAGTAAACGTTTGAAGAGACAAATTAAAGGAACCCAGGTTTTATTTTCCCAAAGAAATAATGAACTAGAAAGAAAATTAGTAGGAAATTAAAGATGTAATTTGTTACAAGTCATCTGATAAACAAAAATGTTCGTATACGTAAGGATTCAATAAAAATAATTCGGATATTTGAGAAAATTATCCATCCTAAAATTATTCTACTAAGGTATATTTTTTACACCTGTTATGTGCTGAAACTTAAGTCACCAGACTTACTGTATTATTAAATTTCAGACATGCCATGATAAATATTTCTTACTGAGTGATTAGGTGAAGGTTGAAGCTATTACTTAGCAAAGTGAACTACCAATCTCAATCTCGAAAATAATTTGCGTGGACTGAATTTGAAAAAAGGAGGATAAAAATATTTACATGATGTGACTTGTATTACCCCTTATTTGATCGAACCAAATTGATTGCGCTCTATTAGGATACGACCCCTGTGGAGATGCCTCGATATTCCCTGTATTTTCAATTTCCATATCAATGATAAATAGTCGTAACCAGTTGAATCCGAAATCCGCGTCTTTCCCTATTTCGGACTCGTCAACTGGATATACCAGCCTTCCTGTGAGCGATATTCTTCTTACTAGAACTCGGATACGGGACGGATTGCTCGAAGAGCCAGAGTCTTATCTGCACAGAAATCCAATAGAGGCCTGTCACTTCATTTCAGTCAACGACGGGATGATTCAAACAACATAATATAAAGGAAACCAGTTACACAAGAAGTAGTTATCGTGGCTCGATGGTCTAGTGGATAACGCTATGTGGTTTGGGGCTATTGGTCTCGAGTTCGAATTTTAATAGGAACAACATCGCTTACGGTGAGTTAGGTGCATCCAACTCAACAAGACCAAAACGGGAAAAAAGCGTGTTGTGGCTCCCGTCGCCAGCCACTGTCCATCAATAATATCAAAAAGTATTTGAACCACGGTTTTTAAACAATAAGCATTTTTCATGAGAATACTTAGTCTTCGTAGGTTCATAAGGTTCGCTTTCTAAGCTGGTATACAAGAAGAAGATATTCACAAAATGCATTCTGATAAGTCAAGCTTGAATTCGAACAAATTTTACTCTCCCGTTTAACTGTAGTGTGTTACTTAACTTGAAAGATTCGTTCTCTGTCATCCGTCCTTCTTAGTTTTATGTCAAACTTGGAACACTATCCGCCATTTATCAGCATCTTTTATTGTACATTAGCAAGCCAGTTAGTGATTCTACACTTAGTGTTACGGAAACTGAGTACTAAGTTACATCCAAAGCATAGTTTTTTTGTCAAAATTATACTTCAGGTTACTAGTGTTGCATCTTTTTCTAAGGTCATAAACGGAGTTTAGAAGTAGTATTTCGTGCTATCCAGAAGAGGGTAGTTAGATATACCAGTATTCGTATCATGATTTAGCCGGAAAAACTAAATTACGGTGACAATCTCTTAAAACGTAGGAGTTTCGTTAAATTAGATTTATCATTATTTTACGCCATACTCTGCTATAGTTTCACTCCTACATGTATCACTTCAGTTTGATAACCTCACTTCTTGTTTTTAATTCTGACTTCAACTTCAATTTTTTGTCTTGACAAAACCTACATAAAAGTTATGCTCGTATTTCTTTTTCTCGCAGGTATTTTGCAAATATATGCTGTTTAAATCTGCTAGTTGAGTCTAAAAGAGTCTTTGCTGAAATTTACAACGAAAGACACCGGTAAAGAAATAAAAATCAAGACTTAAAAAAGCGTAAATGCAAGATGCAAAATATATTTTGCAACTATCCAAATAATAATAATAATATTTCATCTGAATGTGAATGAAGCATTTCGATGAAGAAAGTTACTGAGAAGATGAATATATTTCTTTATTGGAAAATGAGAGGATCTGCGTTCTGTATCGCTTTTTTTGGCGCAGTTGAACTTAAGGTGAATTTAGCTTTATATTTATAAGCTTTTAGTTTGTGTAAGAACCGGGTACAAGTTATTTTCATTCAGGTGGAATGTTTAGTTTAAAAAGTTAATATACGATAAGGAAGAGAATTTTTATTATGAAACTAGTAGACTAATTTACAGTACCAAACTCACCACATATAAATCAGTCAGAACAAAGATTAGCATTTCTGTTAAAGAAGATGATTACGTTTTATTACGTGCAAAGTTTCTTACTCAACAGTTTTAACAACTACTTTCATCATTGAAATAAATAAACTTAATTGGTTGTTGTATTACTGCCTAATAAGTTGGTTTCTTCACTTTATCTTTAATTTTTTTTTCATGTTTCTACTCAAATTTTAGATTTCGCATTTCTGGGAAATATCATGAAAAAAAAATAAAATGTCCTGAATGTTACAATGTGGAAGAGACTACAATTGCAGTTACAAAGTGTTTATGTACATTTTTTTATCACACTTTTAATTACTTCATGTTGTGGTAGATATTTATCTTCTGAAATATTTGATATCAGTGATGATAGAAACAGCGTAGAAACAAATTTAACTCAACCATATCAAATATCGTTAACAATTACAGAATCATCAGTTATTAAATCAGATCTAATAAATCTCAGTCAAATTATGCAAAATCATGGAATCTTGTTAGAAACATCGATTCAGGAGGTTGAAAAACGAGGGAATTCAAAAATTACAAATTTTGAGATACTTGATATCAGTGCCAATCTGCTAACAGCCTATCAACAAAGAAATCAAAATAACCTACTGAATATTATTGATTTACATCCCGTTAAAGGAATTATTAAATTTGGTGTACCACTGGATCGTGAACGTATATGTAATGACTTACAAAATACTGACAGACAGTGTAGGATTACCTTGCTTATAGCAGCCTACAAGATCACTAGTCGAGGTGTAGATCATCATGAAATAACCGCAACAAGTGAAGCCGAATCAGTTGTAAATGTAGACAATAAAAGACGAAAAAGTGAATTAATATGCATTGAATTAATTTTAACTTTACTGGATATAAATGATAATTCGCCATATTTTCCACAAGTGCCTGGTATTGATAATCAACAAAGAGTTATTACTATTGAAGAAGAATGTCCTATCGGTACAATGGTATCCCTACCAATCGCTAACGATATGGACTCTGCCGAACATGGCATTGTTAAATATGAATTTCATCCAGTTTCTACACCTGTGGAATTAATGCAAGTATTCGAAATTGTTCAGTTTAGAGGACTTAGAATTCAATGTGAAGAAATGACACTGAGTGAAATATATACATATAATTACTCATATGTTTCTTATCAATCATCAAATAAGGATTCGCTTCCTTTGGTACCCTGCTTAAAGGTAATTAATCGCTTGGATAGGGAAGAGGCTACACGTTATACCATACGACTTGTTGCAATAGATTCTGGCGGAAGAAAAGGTGAAACGATTTTACGCATATTAATAAAAGATATAAATGATCACGCCCCATTATGGCCGGATAAACTTGAAACAGGATTATCAACAAGCAGTGTTTTATTTATGGGATCAGAAAGAACCACATCTAAGCCAAAAGAAATGATTGGAGAGTCAGGGCATGGTAGGATTACTGTTAAGTATACTTTTCAAGTTCCTGAATGTACTAATCAGAGACAGTTGCTACGTTTAAATGCAAATGATTTGGATGAACCTGATAGTGAGTACGGTCGAGTATCATATAGCCTGAACGATCAAACCCAGGACTTTGAACAACTGCGAAAAAGGTTATTCATTTCAGGAGAATACATTTACTTGACTGACCTAGGCCTTAAAGATTTGAACCAAGCAAATTTAACAATAATAATAACAGCAGCGGATGGTGCTGGTAGGAGTAGTGACGCATGGATTCATCTTTTGGTGCAAGATTGCAATGATCACAAGCCAATGATCATAGTGAGTTTTAGTTTTGTCTTATAAGCGCCCTAATTTTGTCCATAATGGTTTCGATCAACTTTCGTAGTATAGTACAACAAAAAAGGGTTCATCTTACTTTAATTGTTAATAAATAGTATCATTGATAAAGTATTTAACAAAACTCAAATTGTCTTGAATTAATTAGACAATGTAACCCCAAAATTTGGGACTAACCAACTGAATAGTTACCTCTGGAAGCTACCTTTTAAGACTGCTTACTCTATTCTGTAACGTTTTCCTTTTTTATAATCGGATGGAGAAATTTGTAAACTATACAGTAAAAAGTATATTGTCATTAATTACTCTATTTTACACTTCTGTCCGGAAACACTAGCATGTGTTCTTGCCAGTGAACCATCTGATTATTGTATTCTAAAGTAAAATATTGAACACAATTTAAACATAATAACTGATACTAATAGAAAGAATAGAAAGTGACTTAAGTAGAAAAATGTTATTCTTGTTATATTTGAGATCTTTATAAAAGAGAAAACTAGTTACTTACTAGCATGTAAGAATTAAGTACTGATGTTCTCAGATAATTGTACAGTATTCGCATTTGAGTTATTCGGTCAAACGTTTTACTTTAGAACATTGGTTTGTGTTAATTCAGTGAAGTTCACAATAACTCAGAAAGAAGTGATATCAATCTGAAAGGTAGATTCAAAATCAATATTGTAAAAATGTGTCTATTTACTATGAATGAATATAGTGCATTATGCAATACTTTATGGGTTGCGTTGAGTATAAATTACTTTGAATATCATTGTGAACCATGTTTCCCTGCAAAGAAACACGTGATACATGAGTGTGAGTGTGCTAACTAAAGGCATTCGCGTATATCTGATTTGTTGTATTACGTAAGATCATAGAAAGAGAAATCATTTGTGACATATGAATACAAGGTTATATTCAGTCAAGAATATATAATTTATTGACTTGTTTCACTTTCTGAATGCCATTTTTGGCTTCCACGTAGTCAAAATGAAGTTTTTGTTCAGATTACATGTACTTATGCTTTTCTCATGAGAGGTTTGAAAGCTCTTAAGCTACTGATGGGTATTATGATTTCGATTATAAAGATGAATAGTTTCTAGATAAATCGAACGAAGTGACCTCCTCGGTTGAATCTACCTAAGTACTTTCATGTTAACGAACACCAAAACTAGCAAGCGTGCCACCTGGTGCTTATATCAGATAGACCTGATTAGAAAGCATCACTTTTTATTTGAGTTAATCCCCCGTATTCACATGGATCTCAGATAAATATTGCGTGATTAATGCAAAAGTGAGTTTGGAAAAAGTGGCCTAAGCATTGTACTACCTTGATTTGAGTTTAGCCTTAAGCGGTTAGACAAATACCTCTAAAATTGGTTCAAATAAAATGTAAAATTTGCAAAATTCTCAAAACAGAAATGATGATTGTGTCAACGATTAACTAAATGCCATAAAACTTTAAGATTTATTACTGTCATGAAACGATCCACACGAACGTATTATTACGCTTTGTAATGGATTCCACTTGTTAACACATGATACCTAAAGTTCATGTTAATATGCTTCGAAGAAATCAAGTTTCCGAACTCAACGAAGTTCATTTAAAATAGTCGGTTATTGTGCTAAATATAACGTTCACCTCACTGAATATGTATTGACCATGCCTTTGACTAAAATTGTTGATTCAGCACTCTGATTTAGAATATCATTTTGAAAATACATCAACTAGTATTATGGTTATATCTGATGCATAAACTGTTTAGAAAAAAGGAAGGAAATATTTTTCATCTTATCTTTTTGTATCCGCGAATTCCTCCACTGCTTTAAGGCGAAAGCTTGAACATTAATGTTTTGAATTCTGTGGAAAATCAACCAGTATTTCTAATGTTCGCCTAATAAGACTGGTACCCTAGTCTCTGTTTGGTAAACTCAATACATTTATCATTTTATACAATTAGTGTTTAAATCTTTCTTTTAGATTTTCGTCATTAACCTTTTCTTTTGTAGCTGTTCAATATCACTGGTAAAAAGATAGTAATGATGATAAAAAACTTAACATTTTCTGGTCAATTGGTGGTTCGGTAATAGGGCTATGAGGTTTCAAACGAAAAGTCTTGTAGACAGAAAGTGGCTAAACACTAACAGTAACAGATCTTCAAAATTCAGGTCATTCTTTCAAAATGAAAAATAGGGTTATTTACTAAAAACTATGAAACTTTGTTCTAACCCCTTCATATATGTTTGTTTTAAATAAATGTATAGGGAGAAATTTTAGGTGTCATTGCATGAAATGTAAGAGAAACTTGGAGAAAAATTTCTAGGTGTACAGACTATGTATATATGTTAACTTCAGAACTTTACTTACGACTTGGAGCCGTTTACTAGTTTGAAGTCATCCTTACAAACGGTTGACCCTTTCCGATTACTATTGAAGTTCAAAATTGTGAATTGCGATTGCATACTATAGTTTAAGCACAGTTTACATGAATCGATGTGATATTTCCTAGTCTTCTGTTAGACAGTGAATTCAAAATCTTATGACTGGAATAATTGCTGAAATTTACTTCCGGCTAAACTATAATCTTTCTTCCTTAGTGAAACTCCCCTATCATAGACAATAAAACTATTCACAGTGTATTGAATACTTGCATTAAAATAGACAGTATGGAGTATTAACTATTTTAGTAAAGCTGAATATTGACTTTACTGTAGGTATGAGGGGTCACTGTCATCAGTAAACTGAAGGAGATACGGAGAAACAGCTAAAATACGAAATTGTATATATCAATTTTACACTACATTCTGCTGGTGACAATTTTTAATTTCTAATCGCTTAAACGCATAATTTCTTTGAGATTATTATTTTTAGGCAAAAAAGACACTGCTGGAAACAAATTTTGGGATTATATTAGTTATTAGATAACGTTTTTCTAGTTGTCACCTGAGATTACAAATGGAAGACCAAGAAAAGTTTGGTTATCAGGTATTTGATGCATATCTATTTGTTTAAGAAAGTAAACGTAATGACGTTTCAGAAGCTAATCTTTAAATTATGAATGATTTCCATTGAGAAGACAAAGTAACTTCAGGTGATGCCAAATTTAATAAACAAAACGATAGTGATTAAAACTACATAAAATCCCACTAAATGACACCAGACTGTGAAAATGTAAATTTTTCGCATTAATCAGCTCAAAATCGAATTCACAAATAATGTCTACAGTAATTGGTAACCTCTCTGTCTTAAAAGATGCTTTTCATGCACTGATCATTATTATTTTTTTTGCAGATGAGAAATAATGAATTTTCAGTTGTAGAAAATGCAGTCGGTGATCAACAATTGGTTAGTTTAATAACCGTACGAGATTTAGACTTGACTACATCACCGAATTCAGAATTTCAATGCAGTTTAAATGATACCACCTATTTATCACTTCATGAAGTTATGTCTGGACCAAAATTATCTGAACAACACTATCATGAACGTAATTCCAACACTATGCATTTAAACAATGGATTCTTATCACATAGACAAGACGGTGACAGCGATCACAAGGACAGTTTCTCTCGTCAAGGTAGATGGGTCGTTTATCGGTTAGAAACTAAGAATTCGTCATCATTTGATCGCGAAGCATCTTCTTACTATAATGTTTTAATACAGTGTTCAGATAAAGGTTCACCTATGCTCACGTCGAACCGACTAATAGCAATCAACATTGTTGATGTGAATGATAATCCGCCTATATTTCTAATGTCTAATCAACCTCAGTCAAGTCATTTATCTTTGCTATCAACAGAAAATCATAGAAAACTACTTTATCAAACATATTTGTCATCGAATCAACAAAAGATAGATCAAGCATTTATTTATCAGTTTGTTTTACCAGAAAACTCTCCACGTGGTACCATTGTTGGAAGTGTTCATGCTGTTGACTTAGATGCTGGTGACAATGGTAAGGTTAACTTTGAATTGAAAAGTCAAATTCCATATTTTGCTAATAAACTAGTAGCACTGAATGAAGATGATAACTCGACAGACACAAATAATCAAAATTTTCCTGGAGATAATGACAGCAGTAATCAAAGAAAGACCAGTAACTTGTTCCATATGTTCAATTTAGGTCCAAATGGTGATATTCAATTAGTGGATGAAGTTGATAGGGAAACAGTTGATCGATATGAATTACATATTATTGTTAGTGACAACGCAAAAGTGAATCGTTTGTCTTCAACGGCGACAGTTATCATCAAAATAGAAGATGTAAATGATTGTAGACCTGAATTTTTTGGAGATTATGTATTTGAAGTGAGTTTTTTTAAGCTTCCAGTTAAAATCTATTTTAACCTGTAAAACAACATTAGGATAGTAAAAATTTTTATACAAGTTTCATGGCAAAATGAAGTTCACTTTACTAATATATGTATACATTATACATATATGTATATAAAAGCATAACATGGATGATCTATTCAACAAAACAAACGATAAAATATAATCTTTTGAGGCTGCTTCCAATCACCTATTAGATAATACCCATAAAGTGATGACCATATGTTTAATTTAGATTTTATACTGCTCTAACATGAACATAACACAAATGCTAGCAGTTTTCTTTCCTCCTGGTGACACAATATCACTGATTCACTGGTAGTTTTATGCCATCAAATGGTTTTCGAATACCCTTCATTAAATCCATTTAAAATCCAGGAGCACTTGACAGCTACTTCGTCCTAGTATGGCACTCCTCAGCAGTAGGCACCCACAACCTGGCTAAGGATAGAACTGAGGACTTTCATATATCTTGATGAAAGCGTTAACCATTCGGCCAATGAGTTAGAGTTCAGCAATTCACAGTTTCCAACATCTGTTGATTTGCGATATAGCGCGACTATCACTCAAGGTCTTCACTTGGCATCCGCTTCCCCTCCAGCTTGTTGACCCCATTAGTTTTCAATGGTCCCCCGAATGATGTCATTCCATGATGAAAACTACGTCTAAATTAAAGTCCCTATTCATCCCAAAAAATAAACTGCATTTAATTTGTTCCAACTGACAAATATTATTTCAAGTACTTAAGCGGTTACCTTAAACCCTGATAAGATGGTATTATAACAACGGTCTACAATGTAACTAGAGTAATGTCAATAATTGACGGTAAATAAAAAGGCAACTACTATGCTAGATCAAGTGATAATCATACCAACATTGTAAAAAATTCGTAATAAATTGAAAAAGCAGATTGACCTTATTTAATTTATTTAAAACAAATCTTGTGTGCTTCATGAAACCCTTTAATGATATTGATAGCCATGATATTAGTTTTTTAAATTTACTTTATTATCACCTTGAAGTATAAAGATAAAAATCATGCAATTGTTAATCAAGCAATAAATTCTGCTCCTGAACACCAGGAATCACTTGAGAGAATAGCGTGAGGGTTCTGTAACCCAATATGCAACATGAAGGAAGTCAACTTTGCACTGTAGACTATATTCATTGCTAGCCTTGTGATATAATAAGATACCATTAATATCCGTAAATGTAATTAGGAAGAAAAATTTCAAGATGATGAAGGGAATTTCAGGATGGCATTCATTATGGACTGATATCAGTTAGAGGAACATTGGAAGCCCATATACCTCCAAATGATATCAGTCCATGATGAATAATTCCAATCTTAAATCCATTAACAGATAACGTGAATTCCGAGAGTCTGCCACTGATCTCTGAGTGCCATTAGAAGTAGGCTTGTTGGAATCACGTTGTTCAGCGGGCGTATTTGGACAAAAGTTCTGACCTGCGGCAGTAACTGCGACTTTCTTGATGCAGTATAAATCCCTTTCATAGCCACGTGCAAAGGCGTCAACGTGAGGAAGCTTTACAAGAAGCACATAAATGTGCAAGGGCCTATATTACTGCCACAGTTTCAAAGTGAAGAAACTAAATTAGCCTGAGTAATGGTTTATCTAACCTGTAAGCTCATTAGTAAGCTTAATAGGAATGCATGGCCTGCTTGGCGGACCGTTTTTACTCAAATGCGCCCAAATGAAAACCCATTGGACATTCATATTTAGCTGATCTGGAGATAAGAATGGTTGGTAGAACTACAGTATAGGCATATTTACATCATGTCATTCAGTAGGCGTATTTGAACTCAAGTCTAAGTTTGCAAGCTTTAGAACTAGATGGAACATTTCCAGTGACTTGATGTAAGCGCAGAGCATACTGTTTATTTTACTGTAACCAAGTACAAAGAATTATATTGTAAGTATCTAATTCTTGTTACCGTACACCTATGAAAGACTCAACGCCTTCAGTTATATTATCGCTAAACTGCGCCTTTGTTTTGAGGCTTAAGAGAATTATTTTGCTTGACGTTTGCTGAACCTCTGACTTTATCATTGCTGGGCACAACTATTCATAACAATTGAAAAACCGTACGTGTAGCAGATTTAAACTTCTTAGTCTATAAATTAGTAGCTAATTATTAGTGATCCAAACGTCTTATCTCTACACCATATGTTTAATAGACACTTTCATAGTGTAGACGGATTTGTACTGCGTAGGTTATAATATATCTGATATGCTTTAGCAATCAAAACTATATTTCTTTTCAGAACTATCTCTATTAAAACTTGAAGTGTTTACGTTTCACCTGTACCCTGAATCGAACGATTGGATTCTATATTCTGCTTTTTATTACTGTTAGTATTGACAGGTTTCTTGCTTTCAAGAAAAGTTTGGACATGTTATTGTCTAAATAATGTAATAGATTATTCATCGAGTATTTGTAGATGGAGATGACATTTTACTGAATTTGTAGCACACACATTACTTCTTCGTATGAATGCAAAGTTTACGGAAAAACTAACATTTAGAAGGTATTTTGTGAGGTTCGTTATAATAGTATGTTATGTAAATTCAATCACAAGTGATGGATGTTAATCACTAAAATCCAAACAGCTGGTTTTTTGAGTGGTGTGACCAATCTAAGACTTAGAGACTGCACCTTTTAAGTCAGAATAAACCAGGAGTGCAGGGAATTGTTTTCCACAAAACCAATTTCGGTAGATGACTTATTTCTCGTATCTATAATGTTGATATCCAACACATTTAAGAGAAATATACTGATTTAGTTCAACATTTTTTGTTTGCATTGTTCATCTAAAGTCCAAGCAGTGAAATACAAGTGGATTGATCATCCACTGCAGAATAAATAATTTCACGTTATCTGTTCCTAATTGCCGACTGAATTCTGGCGATTGTTTTTAAAATAAGATCCGCAAGCTAACGAACGCATAAATGTGATACCCAGGTTAGATGGTTGGAGTTAATCGACTGGTTATCTACTTCTGCATAACATTTGACCGCCAAAACATGAGAACAAACAGAAGGCAAGATTCAGGCTACCTGAGGTATGAAAAAGGTGTGGTTATATTTCATCTATTTACGCTGAATAAGTGATACTGGTCAGTGGGGATAAGGTATAGTGCAGGCTTTTCAGAAAGTACTTTTACGATAAGGTTCACCACTGCGACATCCTAAGGAAAATAAGAAATAATTTTCTTTTTGGGTATTTCATTTTCTAAAGCTACACAGTAGCATTTATATATATCTCAAAAGCATAATAGTCTGTCGACAAAAAATAGGGTACAGTTGTATCATTAAATCTGTCGTAAAACGGAAATCAAAAGTGGAAAAAGTTGCGTGATAATCTTGTAGACAATGGAAATAATGCGAAAGGCAAGAAGTTAAAAAAAGTGAAAATTTTTGGTAAATGTGGAATGCGATAGTTGAGTGTCCATTTGATAGACGTATAGAAGTTGGAAAAAAATGAGAGTCAGAGTGAAGGTGACAATAGCAAACCGACTAGATGTGATGAAATCGAAATATGTCGATGAGATAGACACTGAACATAATTCTTTCACACAAGGAAATTAAGCTTGAATTGGTGAACTGATAGTGCTTCCGCTTAATTGTTTCCCTTGATTCTGTAAATGATACTGAAGGAGGACTCTGGTGGAGCAATATACCCAGAGTTAACCAAATGTTTAACAGTTGAACGGTTAACTGATATACGTTCTTGCCTCGACATTAACTCAGGATAGTACCAGGAGATATGTTTCGAAAGTGCGCGCTTTGTGTGGCCTATGTAACTTTCCACCTGAGCAATTAAACTTGCGGATACACACTGAGGTAGCTCAAAGCTGCGGTTTTTTCTCAGTACACCGTGGAATCAAGTTCTGTCTAGAGAAGCCAATCTGTAGCTTCATAGAGAATGTCTTCTTCAAAGACTAGGACAGCCGGTTCTTCAGGATCCCTGCTGACATATCACTTTAAAAGCCAACGTTCATAAACAAAGTCTTCATTGTGTCTTTGAGTATTCGCTCCGTATTCTGTTCTGATCTAAAGTCTTTCTCAATAAATTTGATCCTTGTTTGAAATTGGTAGGAGATACTTTGTTTGATTGATAAGATTTTGAAACCGGATATTTATGTCTAAATCACTAGCAGTTCCTGAAGTATAGAAAAAGTTTGGTCCTGGAGATAAAACAAGCATCTGAATAGAAGTCGAAGTTATCTTGAAATAGTTGAATACATATTCCTCCATTCCTTCTGGAAAACTCTACTCTTTTTAAAAGTACTACTTAACGTTTATAGGTTTAACTTGGGTGATTATTACTATTATTTGTCCCTTGGGTTCATAATGGAACATACGGATTCAGTAGCACGTCTCCAATGCACTCTCTCCTCTACAATTTTCAGAACATGGCTCCACTACAGCCAACAAGCTCTCATTTCTTCCTCACACAATCTCCTCCATGTCACCCTCAGATGGGACACCCAACTCGTCGCTTCCCATCGGGGTTCCACTCAACCAACTGGCCTGACGCATCATGTCCCCTGTCGGCCTTCTCAGTGTATGCCCGATCCATCTCCACTTCCTTCCAGTGCATATTTATTCAGCGATAGGCTCTTGGTTGGTTCGTTACCAGCTAGCCAGAGTTCCCTGTCGCTTATTATTTCTGGCCATTTGATTTTCAGTAAGCAGCTAGCGTGGACAGTTGTTGATGAATATCTGTAGTTTGTTCGAAATCCCTTTTGTAATGCGTCAAGTCTCTGAGCCATACAGAAGCACTGACTTGATGTTGATGTTGAAAATCCGGATGTTGTTCACGTTTTATGCAGAGTGCAGAAGATTTCCACAATGGTTTCAGGTTAATGAACGCCTATCTTGCTGTGTTTCCGATCCTTACTTTGATGTATTTGTCTATGCTGCCTAGGTAGGCGAAGAGGGCTACTTCC